AATATATATCTATATATTTGAATTGGGTAAACGTAAGAACCGAAATAATGGAACAAAAATTGAGATTCCGACTTTCAAATCGTATGTATTTTCGTTTTTTTGTACTTGTGTGCTGCTTGGAGAAAGAGTTGCGAATAACACTTCCGCTTTGAGTCATATGACTCAGTTTCTAATCAATGACAAGTATTATCTCTTGCGCCCCCCATAGGGCAATCGGGAAGGGAGAACTTCTCGTTTATACCTCAGATAATAGACCGGCCCAAATAATGCCCTTTCCAGACATACTCAGGATAGCAAACTCATAAGCTGACAGGAATTCTACCTTTGAGAAGAAAAACGACACCATAATCACTACAGTATAGTGTAGTACACTGAGCGAATCTCACTGAACGCTACCAAACTTATACTGCATACAAGGTAAGTGAGAGTGCAAGGATAGAGAGTAGCCCTATTTGCAGGGACGGGAAAGGAAAGCGAGCCTCTATGGTCAATATAGAGTACATACTCCAATTGTGCACACACTATTTCAAGCATTTCGGTCTGATGTGAAGTGACAGCAAGATCACCACTGCTGTCGATTTGCTGCCATGATCGGCAAACGTACCCAACCATCCAGTTTCGGAGCCTGTTGGACCCAACCTGGAAGGTGAGACACTTTCTCTACCTAATCGTTCTGTGTATTTCTTCATGCCTTGTATCCACGTGGATTTCTCCAGTTTGCAGCGGCAACTTCAAATAAGGCGCTGTGCGGTAGGCGACCGTCGGACATACCCAAAACGTGTTCTAACCAACGGAGCCTATCGAGCTGAATTCGATGCGATGGCGAGTTCTTATTCGACGTATTCCCAAACACCCGACGACTTACTTCTGCGTTAAATTATTAGAGTAATCATCTGGATCCTCACTACTTGCCAATTTAGTATCAACGTTTTGTCTATCACGAGTATAATGAATAAACTTGATTCGCTTTGTTATTCTTCGAGTTTCTTGACCTCACGTCAGTTATTTTTTTTGAAAATATGCCAATAACTCTGAGCAAAATTAATTACCTAAACACTGACCGGAATGCTAAGAAAAGCTGTAATTACTAAAGTACAGAAGAGACAACACGGTGTACACAACAACAGCCTAAAACAGTCTACCTCTCGATAGAGAATAATACATAATGAACAGAATAGTTTGGAGGTTACGAATATGAAAACAAGGTGCTCAATAAGATCCCCTCACAGAATTCAACGTCCGTGAACCGGCAGTTACAAAAGCAGGAACGTACAAAATGTTTTATTTATTTATTTGTTTCTTTACACAGCAATGAGGTAACATTTGTCGTCTGTCTGCTTTTTTGCATATCATCACGAAGAAAAAATGGATTACTTGACCTACTGCTAGAGTAGAGAAAACGACAGTTCAAATGTTGGGGCTTGAAGTGACGAATCGAACAAGACTCTCTTCCCCCCCCCCCACACACACAGACCCTCAACCACTCAAGCCGGGTGACAGGGAAGCTGCTTCCCATCAAAGTAGAGTGGTGACAACAAGGTTCGGATCTCAAACAATAGGTAAGTGACACTAATATAAGCTGATTAAATCTCTGCTGTCGCTTTGTTGTTAACAACTAATCGTTCAATAGTGGCGTCTTACATTCTCCTTTCTGCTGTTTAGTGTACTGTCGCTCATTCAGAATGATCTGATCACTCACGATAAAAGCTACTCCTTTTAGCAAGCGGCATTCCTGTACAAAAATGTAAAATTTACAGTAGAGGTGAACCAACAATAAAATCATCGTGTATACTTACCAGTGGTGGATTTACTTTATCATGTGAAACCTTTTTCACGGTTAGAACTGCACTCCCATCAACTGTTTTTGTGTCAAAATTAACAGTCCAGTCGAATTTAACGTGCGCGATGCGGTAGAGATTTGGATCAGCAGATGAAGAAGGATCGTGAAAATGTGACATTTTGATCCGTTCCGAATGAAACTGAAGGAGAAAATGCCACAACCAAAAGTCGGTGAGAAAATGAATAGATCCTTCCCGTGCACTAGTTCTCTATACCACACCTTTTACCAACAAGCCTCAGCCAAAACCCGCAATCCATTAACCTCGACCCGTAATCCTTTAGCCAACACCCGCAATGCTTTAGCCAAAACCCTTAGTTCTTTAGCCTCAACGCACAAACTTAAGTCACGCCGCAGTAGACGAGTCAGATCAAAAGTATCGGAATATTCTGAAATCAACGGATGTTGAAAAAATTATTTCTACAAATGTTAATGCTGTAAAGCTTGGTTAAGAAATAAGGTGTGGGGTTTGCATGCTGCAACACATGTCGATTGGAGAAGATTTAACCGATGTGCCCGTATCGTCAAATCATTTGACACATCTCGCACAGCGTCAGTGTTTCTGTATTATAACACGCGATACTCGTAGCAGTAAAAATCTCAAATATAACTCAAACGATACATTATTTTGCAATAACAAGTGAACTCTGTTCATCAGAAGCGGATACAAAAACCTGCTGAGGGTAACAAACCGTTCGTTAAAGTACACTCTCAAAACTATCATCAGTTTGTTAACGATGAAACTTAAGTTATAATTACCACGGTTGAGGCGAGGATAGTGGCATCGATTTACTCCCAGGTGACAGACTGTCTGATCTAGAGTGCGCAGACGAAATTGTGCTACTAAGTGAAGATCCAAGTAAGTTGCAAGCATTTCTGGACAACTTGAATGCCAGTGTAGCCATATTCGGTATGCGTTTTGCACCTTCAAAGTGTAAAATGTTACTACAAGACTGGGTTGGTCGAGCACCCAGTCTCACTCTAACTGGGGAAGTAATAGAGCAGGTGGATAAGTTTTGTTATTTGAGCAGCTATATCTCACCCGGTGGACGCATCACGGATGAAGTGTCAGCTCGCATACAGAAGGCTCGG